GCATTCTGTCTCAGAGTGCTAGCACTATAAAACCGACATATATCAAGTACTGTGCGGAAAATTAAAACTATTCTTTAGAAAGTTTTCCATAATTTAATTTTATATTTCCGTTTGATTAATATTAATTAATGATGAGTGTATGGGATTACTACATTTACCTTACTGAATAACCTTCCTTCCGCAAGACCCACTGATTGCAATTAAGTCGACAAAGAACTGGTGACCGAAAATGAATCGCTTAAATGCGTGACTGAGTAATATTCCTACAGGTATCTCAGTCAGATGCAAAGAATACATTTTGTAAACTTGCAAAGATGACAGCAAGTATTCATTTTGTAAACTTTGCCATGCTACTAATCTCATGGGAGCCGGCCTGTAATGTAAAATTATAGCTTCCCTAATAATAATAATAATAACCTCCCTTAGCCTGCAACATAAATATCATAGTGCACAACTTAAATGATGGGTCACCTATCCCAGGATTGCCCAACTGAAATAAACCATTTTATCCTGCAAAGATAAAATTAATTGTTTCTCTTGTGAAAATCTTTGAGATCCATAAACTTATCTTAGTAGGTGACCATACGTTGTATATAGAGGTTATCCCGCGAGTGTGTTTGGGGATGGTAAATATCCTGCATTAGGAATAAACATTGTATTTTAGCGAGCCTTGGCGAGCTAAATACATAGTGTTTATTCCTAATTCAGGATATTTACCATCCCCAAACACACAAGCGTAATAACCTCTTTATCATATAATGTCATTCTTTAATTCTGTGCTTCAAAATCGCTTTCCCTCTCTCAGAAACATTACCGAAACATTGCGAGTTTTCCTGGAATGCGCGCATTAATATTTATTACGTCACAGGGTGAGTGATGTGTTAGTCGGACAGTGACAGTAGCCAATATAGTTCCAACTGAAATCTGTTTCTTATACAGTGGCGAAGCAACATATACGCAGAACAACAATTGTTTTTAATTGCCTTTCGCGGCAATCCATCGGTCTGTCCGCTAGAGTAACTGCCCTTTGTCAAAGGGAAGCTACTCTAACCCTAGTCTATGAGACGTCACGGCCGCGGTCAGACGTTGTTGACAGTCGGTCTGTCCTGTCAAAACGATAAGAAGTGTACTCAGATGTACACACAGCGACAAAACGAAACAAGGTAACAATTCAAACATATTCCCGTCAAATCCAACTATTTTAATTTGTGGAGAAGGTTTCAAGCCGTAGAGGTCTACAAGCACAGATAAGGCTACTGATCCCGCTTGGCTAGGCCTCGTGCCCTCGCCAAATTGTTTCGAAATTTATATCTCGAAAGTTGCCAAAACTTATAAAATGCCTTAGCAGCGTCACAGAGAGACACAGATTTTCAGTATATTAGACTGTTCTTTTGATAATGATAGCAATTATCGCTGTAGTTAATCCAGATTCCCGATGGTTAATTCTGACTCGATCGCCGAATGACGAGTGCGACGCCATGTTTGTTTATAAAAAGTGAAAGTAGTCCCTACTTGACCTTTGATATTTGCATCTCTATCCGCATATGACCCCAACGGATATCGTTTTTATCCGTTGGCTTTATCCTGCCGAGAAACCTACCCATTATATGATAAATTGCATATATATGTTTTAACTTTTATCACCATAAACAAAATACCCAAGATTTGGATGTCGTTTTTTACTCTTGCCGAGTCTGTTGATATATTTCTGAAAAAAAACCATGATAGCATTATAATCATGTGTTTCTATTCAAAATGATATTGAAATGTTTTCAATTTTTTTCTCAAGAACATCATGGTATAACATGGGCGAAACTAATTAATGTAACAACAATAACAATGTTTTCAACACGTTGCAGAAATATTTTGCCAGAACGAAACGTTTCTGGAACCATTCAAAATCACGTGAATAAAACTTTTTCAAAAGCATTTCTGAAATATTTTACAAAAACATTTTTGAAACGTCATAACCAAATGTGTATAGAAAATGTTTCTGAAATAATCATGCGAATAAAACATTTTAAAAAATATTTCCGGGACGTTTTGTGAAATGTTTTGGGGATGTTTTTATAACATTTTCGTGTTAGCTGGGGGGGTATCCATGTTTACCAGGGGCATGGTATCACAGTGGGCAACACTATCAAACGGCTTTGGTTCGGACTAGAACAGACAGACAGACAAACACACATAGACAGATCAGACACACACAGACACATACACACATCTTGACCGCGCCATAAAACTCCATTTCACTTCCTCTCCTCCCATCCACCATAGTGTCACTACAATACCTTTAAATCAAGCTCAATGACTTTCTTCGATTCGTTCTTTGAATCAGCAAATGGTGTGTGATCTACTACATATTAAACCCGTAAAGATCCGGGGTAGAATAGTTCTTCAGCAATCCATGCTTGCCGTAAAAGGCGACTATCAGGATCGGTTGATCAGGCTCGCTAACTTGGTTGATGCATGTCATCGTATCCTAATTGCGTAGATAGATGCCCATGATATCAATCACTTGATTGTCTGGTCCACACTCGATTATTTACAGACCGCTGTCATATAGGTGGAATATTGGTAAGTGCGGCGTTAAACAACTAACAAACAAACACAATTACATATTACTAATCAAAATTTGATATATTTTTGGTCGTGTTGTGTGTGACCCAGGATGGCTTTATGTAATACATAAATCAATCACTGATGCAACTGCTCGTGGTTTACCGCGTGTCCACCTGCTGCACGTTGTACTTGTGTCTGTGTGGGGACTTTAAATCGGTTCAGGTGCTTATCTAATGACATTCAGCGAACGAAGTTCATGCTATTCGTCATGTGCTGCATATTCCGTCTGTTGCACATGTTTCAATCGGTGTGTGCGGCATGTATTCGTGATCATTGTGATGGTGGCAGTAGTTACGGTCAAAGCAGGATCAATAGACAGCCATGTCGTCAAAGGCGCTCCAATTCGAGAGCTGCTGTCCGTTCGGGTTTGCCAGAAACCCATGATTGTTGGTTAGAATGCCAGTTCGCCCTGATTATGTTTCTGGGTTTGTCAGCACCATACCCGTGCTCTTGGGTTTCACCAAAGTAGTAAACTTCTGAGACCTGCATCACTTCGGGTTTTCCTCCCACACGAAGCTGATACGCCGTATTATAACTGAAACAGAGCAGTGGCAGTAGTCTCATCATCATCATTATTAGTGGACATGGTAGACGTTATGTACAAATATCAATGGCAGATGTGCTATTTATTGCAATACATGTTTTTTCACTGCAGTCAGGAAAACTTTATCATGACGGCCTGTAAATAATTGAGTCCGGGACAGGCAAACTGTAGCTGACTGAAGTAACGGCTACCTTAGTAACAGTACTAGATGTATTATTATTATTATTATTATTATTGATAGCTTAAAAACTCCACGCGACTGCAGCATTACCCATATTGTCAGAAGGATTGTATTCCTGGTAGCAAACCCGGGTACTACCCCAACATCAGTCAACAGAGGGGGAGGTACCAAACCTAAGCCACCGACAACAATGGGGAGTCGGACAGCTTGGTACTTGGGATTCAAGCGTGACATTTCGAAAGCGAGGTCTTCATAATTGCCATGGTTTTCCTGAATCTTGTCAATCACATTAGTGTCAAAAGGGACAGAAAATTCAATAATATAAATGATTTCCTTGGATTCATAAAAAAGGACAAGCTCAGGTTTGTTGGCCTTGATACGCCTGAGACTGTATATTGGCCTATTCCAAAGAATATTGTATTTTTCATTTTCAATGACGCCCTCAACATATTCTGGGTCGTACCATGGATTTACCTCTGTGTCAAAACCACAAGCATGGCAAAGACGGTAACAAAAGGATCGAGCCACTCCTTCATGTAATACTGTGTTTGTGCCCAAGCTGGGCATCCACTGACAATGTGTTGGACATTCTCATTAAATTTATTGCATAATCTACATTTCATATTTACATTTGATGTAAAATAACGCATTGATGGTTTCAAGTGGAAAATGACTTCTGTTTCACTTTTCAGGCCAGCCGACTTCATCCAAGCGAAGGACTCTGCGTGGTTGCTGACCTTATCAACACACTGCACATACACTCGATGCAGTGGTCGTTAAGTTAGCATCTCCTTGAAAAAGTGAGTCTGGGCTGATTTGATATGACACTTTGCAGAAGTACAAAACCATATACAACATGAACATTGACCTTTAGATTTTGTCCCACATCCTTGGCTCGTTTTGGAAAACTGAGGAATGTCTTGTTTTCCGTATGAGTCTTGACATGCTTCAAAAGAGGATCATCAGAAAAATAAATGTTTTAAAAAGTGCACAATACAATTCTTTCATGAAGAGGCTCCAAGATGGGGATGACACCTGGAAGCAGTTATAGTAAAAAAACAACAGCTGTACCAATTTTAATGGGAGGGCGTGGTTTGATTAATGCGAAGGCTCTTCATGATAGAATTGTACTCCATATTTCACTGACTAGACTTTGAACAAATGTATCTGTGGAAGTGGTAAAGGATGAAATATATATCTCTGGTTGTAATAATCACATGAAGGTATGGAAGATGAGGAAAAATGTCGCGTGATGAAAGAGTTCCAAGGAAGGGAAGATGGAACGTAGATATTTGTGGTTAAGGTCACAAGGTAAAAATAACCGTTTTTAATATTTATAACATAATTGAGCAAGCTAGAATTTAGTGACATATTCAAGAGGTGTTTTGTCATGTTCTCCTAAACCACGCCTTAAGCCCCGCTGTTTCTGCCATATGTTCCCCCACTTACCACTCGATGACGTGACTTCGAAATCACGTTTTAACAATAAACCCTACATACAATCAACGGGGAGTCTCCAATAGCTGTATCTCTTGATATGTATACTGCTTTTTGTTTGAACACGTGTGCCATGCATGTGAATAATTGTCATTTTGACCTTCTACGTCCTACCGCGTTCAACATTAAGTGATTATTGTGCAATATTTGTGACTTCATATTTTGTATAAATAGACCAGAAATTGTTGAATGATCAGATGAGCTATCACATCAAGATGAAGACTGCTGTTGTTGTTCTCGCTGTTCTAGCTGTGGTTCTCTGTGGTGAGTACATTAACCAGACTTTTATATAAATAGTTTGGGAACAATGGTATGAAGCTTTTCGCGAGTTTTAGTATATTTGTACTTGTGGAGGCCGGAGCAAAATCAGCATCGACTTCAGTAGATCGAGATTAAGGCGTGATTTTCAGATAGTAAAAGCGGATCGATACATTACCATGATTTAGCAGCTAGAGTCAAGAAACGTTTGTTCGTTGGTTCGAATCTCACGTCACCCTAATTATAGTTCTTTGTCGACAGGGGCGGTCGGGTAGCATAGTGGTTAAAGCGTTCGCTCGTCATGCCGAAGACCCGGGTTCGATTCCCGATATTGGCACAATGTGTGAAGCCCATTTCTGGTGACCTCCGCCGTGATATTGCTGGAATATTGCCAAAAGCGGCGTAAAAACCATGCTCACTCACTCACTCACTTTATCCGTGTCCGCGGGTCTCACCATGGTGGTACACGTGTTAGATAATCACGTCAGGTTATCATCATCAACAAACTGATACACCGAGATACACCTGCAATACTGATTGTTTTGATGTACCAATTCCATAACCTCCAGAGGAGCAATTTCCCACTGAGCAAACTCTTACCCAGTCATATCGGTTGAGTTTCTTACATGTCACCCTGATTGTGTTGATTGTTAATATAGTGGTAAGTCGCATTTTATTTACAACACATATAAAACCTGAGATCTCCTTAACGCTTGTTTAACGTGAGGTGATCAAAGCCCCTAAGTCCTATGTCAGAGATGTTAAGCTCTGTGTTATGACTTATTAATGTACACTTGACGTCTCACGAGGATGTTTGCAAAATGTTTTAAGATTACATAAAAAGCACGGGTGTTTTTCTCCTCCTGCTAGCCAGCACCTCGACCTCCGCAGAGTGCAACTGTCCCATGATCTATCTGCCGAAATGTGGAACTGACTTAAAGGTCTATGGCAACGAATGTCAGCTCAATTGTGCGTAAGTACATACTTTACTTACGATAAATCCTACTATTGAAAGTTCCTTAAAACGTAAGTGGACATCGGAGCTATTTTCAACAGCGAAAGTCGTGGATTTAATGATAATGTTATTCTTTTACCGATTTAACCTGCCAACAATGGCAAACGGAGAAACCAATCTTTTTAAAAGCATTTCCACAATCATTTACGATCATTTCAGGCATTGAACGTGTGTAGCACAGCTGTGTCGTAAGGTAACGTTGATTTGAACATGAACATAAAGTTGAAGCTCTCTGTTGTCCCTCAAACTTTAAATACACTCGCTTGGTCGGCACCTGTTCTCTATCCATAATGTATTGGTACACAGTGTACATATAATCACGATGCTTACCGACAATAACTGAGAAAAAGTACTTAGAAATAGTATCCCCCGCGGTGAAGAGGTCGTTAAATCAGCTGTTACAATAAGATAGTTTGATTTGAAACCAACGATTTACCATTCAGTATCGCGTATTTTCCAAAGTCACTATTAAACTGTTGTGTGGTCGTTTCCAAATATAATTTAGTGCGGTTAAATCAACAGGCGACCTAGCTCTAATATAAAAACAGTATGTTTATCTCCTAAATGTATTGAAATTCAGTTTGCTCGTTTATTTTCTGCAGTGGAGTGAGCGAGTATGCTGGGACATACAGCATCACCGGTAACAGCTGCACCACCAACTGAGCGTACACGGCGTCTCCTACAGAATCGTCAAACAGTGGATGTAGATTTCTTGTGAACGAAATAAATCCTATTGCAACAGTGTTTGTTTGTTTTCCATTTTTGTTGTTTAACGCCGGACACAGCAATATTACAGCAATATTGGGGCGGTGTGTAAATAATAGAGTCTAAACCAGACAATCCAGTGATTCACATCATGAGCATCGATTGACGCAATTGGGATACGATGACATGCATCAACCAAGTCAATGAGCCTGACCACCCGATCCCATAGTCGCCTCTTACATCAAGAATGGGATGCTTGTGTAAATTAGGTTATGTTGTCGAAATTGCAGTTTTTGTTCAGTTGATATCGAGACCCCAATGCATCTTTCCTGGTCCTGTAATATGGTTCAGCAAATCTTGCGTCATCTTGAAGTTTGGCTACTTCAAAAGGCTAACATCCAAATCGAAATTACAAAGAAACATGTGATGATTGGTTTTCCAGAAAAGCGCAATGACCCTCTAAATATCATCTTCTTGATAACAAAAGACCTTATATTTAAAAGTAAGTTAAATAAGAGACTCCCGTCATTTCAAGTCTTTCAGAACGAAATAAGAAACTACTATAACCTTACTAAATGTTCAGCAATTATTGAGTGTGACATTGGCCTATTCTATAAATTTTGGTCAACATGCCATCATCTATTTAGATGATTAATCAACTATGTACTGGAATGTCACATCTTATCAAATAAATGTAAAATGATTGAAAAATTAAAAAAATATAAAAAAAAGAATGGGATGCTGAAGACCTCTTCTCACCCGGATCTTCACGGGTCTAAGTGTGAGATAATTTTTCGTAGAGTGTACCCTTCTTTTGTACAAGGACTGAAAGAGCAATTCATGGAGTTCATTGTACTAATAACCAAATTCAGAAATGACATGAATCGCTGACCCTGTATCTTATAAGAACATAATAGAAACAAACAGCAATTTACACAGAAAAACTTGCGCCAATATATATTTGGGCTTCTCTCTGTAGACATATGACGTTTCTCTAATCCGTGGCTGTCTCAAACTAGGCATATTTGAGATAGACGTTCAATTAAGAAGTTACTTCAATATGTTTTAAGCGTTAATTGTTATTTTAAAACCGCGAGAACCATGGAAATGTGAGTGAGTGAGTGAGTTGGGTTTAACGCCGCTTTTAACAGTATTCCAGTTATATCGCGGCGTGCCAGCTTCATGTGGGAGGAAAGTCCGAAGTGATGCAGGTCTCAGACGTTTACCAGTTCGGTGAAGCCCACGAGCACGGGTATGGTGCTGACAAACCTAGAAACATAATCGGGGCGAACCGGGTTTCGAACCCACAATCATAGGTTTCTGGCGTGCCCAAGGGACGCAACTCTGCACAGCGAATCGCGGCGCCTTAGACGACTGGGCCACCCGTGCCCCCCACCACGGAAATGGATTCATGAGGGGTCAGTGTAGGGTTGCCGAAATGCGAGCCGCATAGATATAGAGCATGACTTAAGTCAGGTTTTATAGGTTGTTTGTTTGTTTGTTTGTTGTTTAAAGCGCACCCAGTAATACCACAGCCATATGACGCCAGTCTGTGAATAATCGAGTCTGGATCAGGCAATCAAGTGATTGAGCATCGATCCACGCATTTGGGATACGATGATATGCATCAAAACAAGTCAGCGAGCCTGACCACCCAGTCCCGTAATTACTCGCCTCTTACGGCAAACACGGGTTGAGAAATTAATAAGTCAATAATAATAATAATAATAATAATAATAATAATAATAATAATAATAATGTTGGTGCAGACAAACCTAGAAACGATGAGCCTGTATTGGAACCTATGATCACTGCGAACTTTCAGTGCATAATATGAATCGGACACCCGTGACCACTTACACAACATGACAAACTTGCACGTGTGAACATATTGTGTAATCATAAACGAATTAAGCAAAAACAACACGCCACATATATACTTATGGAAAAAAAGTTTTGAGTGGGTTGTCGATCTGAGTGAGTGAGTATTGTTTTACGCCGCTTTGAGCATTTTCCAGCAATATCACGGCGGGGGACACCAGAAATTGGCTTCACACATTGCACCCATATGGGAAATCAAACTCGGGTTTAAGCACTAGGCTACCCCACCGCCCTTGTCAATTAGAACTAAGGAAACATCGATATTTGCCTTGAAACAAAGTATCGCTTGTTTACGCTTAAACACTGTTGTTTATACTTCGTAAGTCGACATGAAGAATTATTTCAACTCAACACGTCACTGGTTTGACGTCACATGGCTCAGTGACACACACGATATATTGTTAATTCTAAAATAGAAAGTTCCAAATGTAAAGATATTTTTGTCCCTAAGACTTTACATACACTGAGTTTCTCTTAGTGGGTGAGTGAGTGAGTGAGTTGGGTTTTTAACGCCGCTTTTAACAGTATTCCAGTAGCCCGAAGTGATGCAGGTCTCAGACGTTTACCAGTTCGGTGAAACCCACGAGCACGGGTATGGTGCTGACAAACCTAGAAACATAATCGGGGCGAACCGGGATTCGAACCCACAATCATATAGGTTTCTGGCGTGCCCAAGGGACGCAACTCTACACAGCGTATCGCGGGACCTTAGACGACTGGGCCACCCGTGCCCCCAGTTTCTCTTAGTAGATTTCTATCGTGATGTCTACCAAAATGCATTGCCCTACGTAAAATGGTAATAATCGCATTTTGTAAACTGCTATTTTGCATATTTCAAAATGCCTTCTAACAGTGCTAAAGGAAAAAGTGATTTCTGTGATGCGGACATCACATCAGCTGTGGCAATCACAGGCGGATATAATGATTGTAATCTTTGACTGACCAATCAGAATCAAATATTTTCGATTTATCGCCAACGTATTCTCGGGAATGCTTTCAGAAAACATGTCACCATGATTCTGTGCCAGCAGCTGGTGGAATGTGAAAGGGCCTATTTAAACACCTATAAAGCGTATACAGCACTGCGAAACGCACATCGGTCTTGAAACATTCAACTTCACGGTACTTCGTGGGACAAGAGGGGCTACTTGGTTTAAACATATTTTTATTTCAAAAGAAATATGGATCGGTAAACAAGCAAAACTTGCTTATGTAAATACCTCTCCAGGTAATAACTTTACAACAACTGGTTATATATCAGATTATATGTAAGATAGTGCTAAACATAAACATACTAAATGCACAAATAAAATATATGAAGCCAATACAAGTGGTGTCTGTGAAATAAGATATAGCAGTTTTCCAATACTACATGCATAAAACTAAGCTACTCGAATCTTTTGCTTGTGACAATGAAATCGTGAACTGATTTAAGAATAGTCATGTTTGTAGAACTGCTAACTGAACTATTGCCATGTAATATCGTTTTTAAATCATACCCATGTGTGTAGAAGTACATAGTGTTTCTGATATTATGGTATTTTTGACACTTCAGGTATAGAAAAAGTGAATTGCGTCTTCAAAGTGATACCCACAAGTGCAGTCTGATATGTCTGATACATGTCGTCTAAACGTATATATCCCCCAGTTTTAACACGAAGATCACACTCAGTACACTGCAAACCGACCAGTCCTTGTTTCGTTCCTCAATGCGCCAGGCAGGTTAACGACAAGCACCATCTTTTCACTCGTCCTTTTGGGTCAGTTTGAATTGATATATGAAGGTTACTGTTGAGGGTGCCAATTTGGTTGAAATATAATTGTATTGAATTTTTGACACAAAGAATTATATCTGTGTTCGAAGTGTAACTACAGATTTAATAGATTTAAATAAATTAAATTGTCAAAAAAGCTTATTTCTGTTATTTCACTACTCCTGACCAATGATGACAATGGTTACGAATCTAGACTTCATATCCGTGGAACGTGGCAGCTCGGAAGGAAAGCCTACACAAAAGAGGCGCCACAGACGTAGCTGACATCTTGCCCAACATAGTGTAAATACTAAAATTCTATATAATTTAACCTCTGACAGCCTCCTAGCCAACTCCCAGATATTTATGTCAACCGACGGCAATATGTTAGCTCTATGACGGCCGTATGAAAATAATCGAGTCTGGTTCCAGTGGTCGACATCATGCGTATTTAGTACGCAATATGGATACCATTACGCGAATCAACGAAGACAGCAACGGTTAAGCTCGCGTTCATTGCTGTGGTAGACTCCGGCGGTGTCACAGACGGGGACCGGGTACGGGGCCATAGGCACTCACTGTTGACGGAGGTGGGTGAACTGAAGAAACATTCACACAAGGTTAACACGCTTTATTATTACCATAATTCGTAAGTATCTTCCCAGTATAAATCGAGGATATACGCGATTAGTTTGCAATAAAATGTTACTCTTATTTGTAGCTAAACTCTTCCTATTGGCCACTGATTAGTCTACTGATAGTGAGTTACAGTACGAATCCTATCATTAATATGCGGTAGTGGTTCGGGCTGCCAATTCAAATGCTGCTGTCTTGTATGATTATGTATAGATCTAACCTAAGTATAATGTAAAAAAACGTTACCATCATTAGTACATAACACATGACCTGTATGAATGTATTGTTTTCTTGCAAAAGTATTTCAACACCTGGGACCGCCTCCGTGGTCTAGTGGTAGAGCGTCCGCCCGGAGAGTGGAAGGTCCGGGGTTCGATCCCCGGCCGCGTCATACCAAAAGACGTTGAAAGATGGTACTTGTTGTTACCCTGTCTGGCGCTCGGCATTAAGGGGCTAAAACAAGGACTGGTCGGCTCGGAGTCAGTATACTGTGTCTGAGTGGGGTATTCATGTTAAATTGCGGCATGGTATCTCAGTGGGCTAGCACTATAAATCGGCATCAGTCCGGACTAGTACAAGCAGCCACACACACACGTGCATGCACGTCGCTATATAAGTGTAATAATCTTGGACGCGACGTTAAACCCCATTTCACCTCACCTTCACCTCACCTATTTCAACACCTCGAGTTAAACCTAGCTTGACGCTACATTACATTGCGTCTACACAGGGTATACATGAGTCTTCATTTTGATTGGGGGCGGT